CTCTCTCTCTCTCTCTCTCTCTCTCTCTCTCTCTCTCTCTCTCTCTCTCTCTCTCTCTCTCTTTCATCCCATTTCTGTAAATTTTTTAAGTCGGACACAATTGCGTTTAATCCGATGCGTTTCGTTTAATCTGACTCGTCTCGAGCAAAATCCTTAGAACGTGTCACAGTTGTTGACGAACTCCATATATGTCGATACAGGCGATCGTCAAAACGTCATGTCAAATAAGCACTAACATGATCATGCTACCCTTTTCGTATTTCTCGTTCAGTGGGTTGGAAAATGGTTTAGACGTAATGAAGTTAGGAGCTTCTCAAACTGTCAAAACTGAGAGTTATTACCGAAGGGTTACGCACAATAATATTACAATTATAATAATATAATTTATAATAATAATAATAATAATGATAATAAATAATTACTAGGCAAGCCTGTCACCACACACAATAATGATACTCAATTTTGATATTTCGATGAGCTCCAAACTTTATTATGTATAAATTGTTTCGCAATTCATTACATAATATGTGTTTCTCGTACCATATTTAATGAAACGTGTTTACCATATTTAATGAGAAACACATGTATAAAAATTTTTCCGCAAACTTATTTTTGCAAAATTTTAATATTTTTTACTCTTCTAAATTCAGTTGCAAGGGTACAGCAATGCTCTTTGAAATTTTCTTGAGCAAAGCAAACGCACATTTGGTATGCACAAACTACAGAATTTTTAACCAAATAAACAAATATTTACGCTGACTGACAACTCGACATGATAAGTTTGACACTTACATATCGAGCAATATTGCAATTCATACTTGCATGTATTTTCACTATGTAAAAGTATTATAGTTCTGTGCAACCAATACGACATAAACTTTGCAGAACAAGATCAGTATTTTGCCGGTTTGTTTCAAATGTAACATTTTCTTTAAACATGATACGAAATTTTGCTCTCCGTGAGAAAAAAAAAAACGTTGTTCGAAACGAAGTGCTCGCTTTAGGAGTTCATTTGTTATCTCACATAGTTGGAAGTGTACGGAGGAACACTTTGTGAGGAAGGAACGTAAAAGTACATAACAAACGCGGTTTTAAAACATGCTGAGTAATATACCGAGAAGGTCCAGCTGCGTAATAACTATGTCCGTCTTGTAGCGGAAGGTAGTTTGCCCGATGAAATGCACGTCCAGCATTATGTCGTTCATGGTATGCAAAGGTACGTTAGAGTACCGGGTGTTGTAGATGTAGTAGTCGCATTCCGGCGGGCAGTCGCAGATCATAGCAGGTCTGTCCTCGGGGAGCTCTTCTTCCTCGTGAACGACGTAGTCGTTGAATAGGTCTTATTTTGCGTCAGCACGCATTCAAAGGATAAAGAGATAATTTTGCGCGATAAATATACGCACATTCGCGAGACACGTGACGGGACACCCGATAGAGACGTTTGCTTACCGTTGAAATCGGCCAAGCAGACGAAATCCTCCGCGTTGCAGTCACGCTCCGAGGCTGAAACGTAACGAAACGTTAATGATGTCGCCGTCGTCGTCGTAGTCATTGTCGACGTCGACGTCGATCCTGGAGATATGAAGCCGTACTTAAGGGGAACAGGAACGACGGGTTACAACCGCAATGCTTGATGACGTAGGTGCGTTTGCAGTGCGACAGACAGCTCTCCTGGTTGTACATGCCGGTCTGGTCATACTTGCACGGTGCCTTGTTCTCGTCCAGCACGAGCACGCTCTGGGTGGCGAAGCCGGAGATGCAGTCCACGGATAAACTGACCAACGAACCCGACGGGATCATGGTGCCGCTGTTGGGCCAGACATGTGGCTCGTTTATTATTACCTTGATACCATTGATCTCGACTACAACACACATACAAGCACGCTTATATCACTGTGAGTCGTCACGGAGCCTTCGCAATCTTTCGCACAAGAACTTTTATCGGGCTCATTTTCATATAATCCCGTGCACGGCGTAAAGTTTGTTGAAAAAAAAAACCAGTGCTCTGTCAGTAAAATTTTCAAGTATGCACGGAAAAAACAATATGGTTGATCCATACAGAAATCTAGTTGTGCCAACCAGATTCAATAGTAAAATACGGAACAACTATTTATGTGATTGCTGTAACCAAAGAGCAATGGCTGAGTAATACATGGTTAATACAAACGCGGCAACTACAAATATATATTTATACACTCAGAACCAGTTTTCATATGTATACATCTCTAGCTGTGCGCATAGTGAATTGCTTTTGTTTTCTAACATTGCTGCTTTGCAATATAGCATTGATTAATGCAACTATCGATATTTAGCTTGTCTATGCAAAATGATCCCCTTATTAATTTCTAGTTGCCACAACCAGATCACACGCAACTTCATTGATGTAGTTGACACACCAAAATAAGTAAGTCAAATCAACCATATACATAACTATCATACAAAGATATGTAGAATGATGCAGCTATTTGTTTACAACTAAATATTTTTCGTTAAGTGCACCACATCTCTTTTCTCCGTGTGGCATTCCCTCAATACGGGTTTTCGTCAGCTGCGCGAGTAATCGTCGAATCCGCCTACGGTAAAAAATATCTGCGATCCTCCTTTTCCCTTATTTTGATCCGCGAGCCAATTGTTTCTTTTCTTTTCTCTTCTATTTTCGTCGCTGGCTACTGCTGGGGTAACTTACAACCGACACGGAGGAGGTCTTTGGGTGCGACATTTCAATAACTGCCTCGCAATACGGCGCCGATACATCGATTTTGCAGTTTACGATAAATCCCTCCTGCGAGTGCGCACAGGGGTAATAAAGGAGTGACATTACGGTGGAACGGGAGTTGCGCGTTCTATATAAAATGCGTGATGGTGGACGGTGGGTTTCGCGAGGATATTAAAATCGTATTTGCGAGATTCCGCGGCGCGCGTTTGCATAACGCGCGGATTAGTAACGATGTGTCGTTTGTGTACACTTTGTCATTTAGCACGGATCTCGACAGAAATAATATTAGTTATTAATCCACCACGGTTTATCCGAGTTTACGTTCTGCTTGCCATTATGGTTGCCGCCACCTCCATCGCCGGCTTATATTTATGCTATATATTTGTTCAAATAATATGATTACATCTCTTGATCAAGATAATAAACATTGCGCGATATGGTCTAGAGCGTTATTGCGGCGGCAAATTGTTGAAAAACCTTACGGGTCTTAATGTGGACTGCCAAAGGACTTTCCGACTAGAAATTTATCTCATAGTCTGGTTGACCTCAATTGGTCGTCAGGTTCGTATAAGATAATATTATCAAGTCCTCAGAAGTCTTCAGAAGATGTAACGCGCGCGCTGCATGATCATCAGGACTTTACTAAGAATTCATTACGAGATTCTTCGTTAAGATCCTAGTCGTTATAAACTTACAAAGGTCTTCCTTCAGTTTTCATCAAGACATAATAAGGTGTACCACACTGAGAGAAAAATGTATGATATTTGGAACTATAATGGCATAGTAAAAATATTATAGTTAGGAATATAATTTTTATAGTAAATGTTACCATAATATTTGTAATATTTACAATATAAGTATAGTATAACTGACCCGTGTAAAATTTTTACCAAGAATTATAATTATTTGAAATAAAAAATATGGTAAGGTGGCAAATATTGAATGGTAAGAGAAATTAACTATTTTATATAGTCAATACAATTGGAATATTTGGCAAATATAAATACATGTAACTATTACCATATATATAGAGTAATAAGATGGTGACTATAAATCTGTGTTCATTCTACTATATCTTCATGTTTAGATGAACTATAAATATATGTTTGAGGCCAAAACGAACTATAAAATATAGTGAGATTATAGTTATTCCAACTATTTTTTTCTCTCAGTGCATGGTTAAAATCACCTTACATTTATCTAATTATGCTTTTGTACGCTATCAGGCGCACCTGATCAAAATTTTTCGGCATAATCTTAAAAAAATCTTCCTTATTCAATCCTTGCCATACTCAGATATACCATAATTAAAATTACTTTACATTTACCCAGCTAGGACTTTGTAACTTAATATCATATCTGATTAAAATTTCTAGTTGAAATCAGAATAAAATTCGCGTAATCATGTATTTATACGTTTGAGCATCCACGAGCTACTTCATATCGCGAAAACTTTTCAGATTCCCAGCAAGGTGTTCGCCGTCGTATCGAAGCGAATTTCCCGACCGAGTTCTTTAATTCGCGTCGATGAAGTTCTGAATCTTTTAACACGATACAACGTGGAGGCAATATCCAGGTCCGTGACTGGACCGTGAATCAGCGGTCGGTCTCAACCGCGCTGAATCGACCAGACAATTTATTTAAGACGATCAGGCGCTTCTTCAGTCGAAACAAGTGTCAGCAGGACCGATCTTTTCAGCCGTTCAATCCGTTCGGTCTCGATACACTTCCTCAGTTCTTCGTGTAACGTCGGCGAAAGATCAAAGGCCACGTCCACGTAGAATATTGCATCAGAGTCGTCTCCGTACTTACCGGAATCCGGTGGCTTCGTTATGTTTCCCAGGTGAATCGTAACCTTGACACCGCTCCACTCACCGTAACCGGACGCTTTTCGTGGTCGCGACTCCGACTGGCGATCGCCGCCGCGTGGAGCTCGTGACGAGGATGGCTCCGCCACTTCCGAATTGAACGAGTAGCAGAATCCGTACTCGGTCCGCTGTACTTCGAAGATCTCGCAGCAGTTGCGATCGCTGTTGCGCCACCAGCAGTTGGTCATGAGCTCGTCGCAGCGCGGCATCGTCTCGTACAGCACCTCGGTCATGTTGATACCTGCGGCTCGCGATGCGACTCCTCGTTATTTCTGCTGGCACGCACATGGGTGTGAAAAGGTTCCGAGCAGCGAGAGGACGATATCGATTTCGGCAACGTTGCCAAAATCTATACAGTAACGCCACTGACGTTTCGTGCATTAAGTGTAAAGGAGATCGGGACACGTCCACGAACTTTTTAGAATTACCTTACTTTCCCGTCCCGTTACGATTGATCGTGCGAAAAAGACAATCTTTTCCTGTGTTTTCATCTTGCGAAAACGCTGAGTTTAAAAGTCTGATTCACAAGCAATTCAAGATAGGTTGATAACATGTGTAATACATGTGTTTCCTGCAGCTTGGCAAACATTCCATTGTATAAGATTTTTTAATGATTCCATTGTATAAGATTATTTTTGAACATTCCATTGTATAAGATTTTTTAATGATTCCATTGTATAAGATTATTTTTGAATATGATTTACTATTGCTGTCTTGATTTAAAAAAATGCAAAATATAGTGATTTTAGTTTTTTATTTATATTTCTATGTTTTCTTCTTGTGAAAAGGCTGAGTTTAAAAGTCTATGATTTACAAGCAACTCAAGATAGGTTGACAACATGTATAATACATGTGTTTCCTGCAGCTTGGCAAACATTCCATTGTATAAGATTTTTTAATGATTCCATTGTATAAGATTATTTTTGAACATTCCATTGTATAAGATTTTTTAATGATTCCATTGTATAAGATTATTTTTGAATATGATTTACTATTGCTGTCTTGATTTAAAAAAATGCAAAATATAGTGATTTTAGTTTTTTATTTATATTTCTATGTTTTCTTCTTGTGAAAAGGCTGAGTTTAAAAGTCTATGATTTACAAGCAACTCAAGATAGGTTGACAACATGTATAATACATGTGTTTCCTGCAGCTTGGCAAACATTCCATTGTATAAGATTTTTTAATGATTCCATTGTATAAGATTATTTTTGAACATTCCATTGTATAAGATTTTTTAATGATTCCATTGTATAAGATTATTTTTGAATATGATTTACTATTGCTGTCTTGATTTAAAAAAATGCAAAATATAGTGATTTTAGTTTTTTATTTATATTTCTATGTTTTCTTCTTGTGAAAAGGCTGAGTTTAAAAGTCTATGATTTACAAGCAACTCAAGATAGGTTGACAACATGTATAATACATGTGTTTCCTGCAGCTTGGCAAACATTCCATTGTATAAGATTTTTTAATGATTCCATTGTATAAGATTATTTTTGAACATTCCATTGTATAAGATTTTTTAATGATTCCATTGTATAAGATTATTTTTGAATATGATTTACTATTGCTGTCTTGATTTAAAAAAATGCAAAATATAGTGATTTTAGTTTTTTATTTATATTTCTATGTTTTCTTCTTGTGAAAAGGCTGAGTTTAAAAGTCTATGATTTACAAGCAACTCAAGATAGGTTGACAACATGTATAATACATGTGTTTCCTGCAGCTTGGCAAACATTCCATTGTATAAGATTTTTTAATGATTCCATTGTATAAGATTATTTTTGAACATTCCATTGTATAAGATTTTTTAATGATTCCATTGTATAAGATTATTTTTGAATATGATTTACTATTGCTGTCTTGATTTAAAAAAATGCAAAATATAGTGATTTTAGTTTTTTATTTATATTTCTATGTTTTCTTCTTGTGAAAAGGCTGAGTTTAAAAGTCTATGATTTACAAGCAACTCAAGATAGGTTGACAACATGTATAATACATGTGTTTCCTGCAGCTTGGCAAACATTCCATTGTATAAGATTTTTTAATGATTCCATTGTATAAGATTATTTTTGAACATTCCATTGTATAAGATTTTTTAATGATTCCATTGTATAAGATTATTTTTGAATATGATTTACTATTGCTGTCTTGATTTAAAAAAATGCAAAATATAGTGATTTTAGTTTTTTATTTATATTTCTATGTTTTCTTCTTGTGAAAAGGCTGAGTTTAAAAGTCTATGATTTACAAGCAACTCAAGATAGGTTGACAACATGTATAATACATGTGTTTCCTGCAGCTTGGCAAACATTCCATTGTATAAGATTTTTTAATGATTCCATTGTATAAGATTATTTTTGAACATTCCATTGTATAAGATTTTTTAATGATTCCATTGTATAAGATTATTTTTGAATATGATTTACTATTGCTGTCTTGATTTAAAAAAATGCAAAATATAGTGATTTTAGTTTTTTATTTATATTTCTATGTTTTCTTCTTGTGAAAAGGCTGAGTTTAAAAGTCTATGATTTACAAGCAACTCAAGATAGGTTGACAACATGTATAATACATGTGTTTCCTGCAGCTTGGCAAACATTCCATTGTATAAGATTTTTTAATGATTCCATTGTATAAGATTATTTTTGAACATTCCATTGTATAAGATTTTTTAATGATTCCATTGTATAAGATTATTTTTGAATATGATTTACTATTGCTGTCTTGATTTAAAAAAATGCAAAATATAGTGATTTTAGTTTTTTATTTATATTTCTATGTTTTCTTCTTGTGAAAAGGCTGAGTTTAAAAGTCTATGATTTACAAGCAACTCAAGATAGGTTGACAACATGTGTAATATATATGTTCCTGCAGCTTGGCAAACACTCTTTTGTATACAATTATTTTCTAATGAATATGGTTTACTGTTGCTGTTTTGGTTTAGAAAAAATTCAAAATAGTGATTTTTTTATTTTTATAGTTTTTTATTTACATTTCTATACTTTCTTCTTGTAAAAACCCTGAAAGTCTACGGTTTAAAAGCAATCCAAAATAGATTGACAACATGTATAATACATGTGTTTTTGCAGCTTGGCAAACACTCTATTGTATAAAATTATTTTCTAATGAATATGATTTACTATTGCTGTCTTGGTTTAAAAAAAAATGCGAAATATAGTAATTTTAGCTTTTTATTTATTTTATTGTAATATGTGCCCAAGTAGGAATTGTATACGTTTCGTCAATACGGAAAAATGGCCCGATACTGGGTCGATACCGAAAAGCGGATGTCCGATTTTGGTACTGGCTCAGTACTGGGCCTAATATAAAAAAAATAAAAAAAAATAAAAATGTATTATTGGTACTGGCTTCGTACTAATGTTAGGTACTGGATAGTCGTACCGTACGTATACTGGGGCGTTACCGAAAAGTATTTGTCATTTTCGGTACTGGCCCAGTATTAAAAAAGCTGTATTATCGGTACTGACCCTTCGTAGAATCAGTACTGGATACCCAAGTAAAAATCGTATACAATCTGCCAATAGAGGATATTTGGCTAGTATTGTACGAATACCGAAAAACGGACGATACCAATGTCTTTTATGGGAAAACGGAAGAGGTCACTAACGCGACACCTAGATAGCTCAATGATAAGAACGTTTGCCTGACAAGCGGAAAACTCGAGTTCGATTCCAGCCGTCGCCCCGAAGATATGACTATTAAAAAGACCTGTATAGGTACGAGAGCAACCAACCTCCCTCCGGCCATGGTCTGATCTTTCTTTCCATACTATATAGTTGTGATATTAACAATTGTACAAATAATAAAAATGACTAGGAATCGATACTGGCCCAATACTGGGAAATAGGTACTTCCCCAGTGCTAGGAATCAATACCTTTTTATATTGGTATAGTACTGATTTTCGGTACTGTGACAGTACTGTTTTCCGATACTGGCCCTTTCCTATCATCCTAGTATCACTCTAATACTAAATCCGTACTGGCATCTGGTGTTATGCCAGTAACGTTTACCATAAATCAGTACTGGGCCACTTTGATGCCAGTAATAAATTCCTACTTGGGTGGTTCTTTATGATGAGAATGCCGATCTATCATTTTTGACAGAAGAGTTTGTATAGAATTATAATATATTATATTTGTCATAGAGCGAGTTGACGTGCGTGATCTCGTGTAGCATTTTGTATTAATGTAATCTGATTTGCGGACATATATTTTATCCATTTATTTTTTCGATTTCAATCGTTGCATGAATGAAGATTACTTTTATTATACAACGATGGTAACATCGCACAGTTGCAAAAAAAAACTTCATTTTAACTAATAACTTCATTTTCACTCAAGTTTATTCATTCACGATGAAAAATGTTAACACGAAATTTCAAGACTGTAGAAAATTTACTTGGTTGCTCTTAAATCAGATCTTTTACCTTCTTATCAATTGCGATATTCTCTTCGATTTTAATAAAACTCAGAAGAAAGTATCTGTGTCCTAAAAGGAACGCTTCGCAATTCCGTTCCTCTCACGATAAATACATAAATAAAGCATTCTGCGGACCTATCTCTGTTGCGAATGTGTCCCGATTTCACCTACACGTACACGTGTCGGTACACTCCCTAGTGGTAAAGCGTCAAAGGAGTGAAATTGGCTGAAGTAAGAAAAGAACGTTACTGGTCGTCCACGGTCGTCGCTCTCGCACGGTGAAGTCTGCATAGGAGTTAAGGAACAGGTTGTCCTACCCGAGAGACCGTGAATACTTTGACTTCGGTTCCTCAGGAAATCCAGCTCGTCAAAATCCCCGAAGCTCATCATGGAGAGCCTCCCGAGTATCTTGCGAAAAGTTTCGAGACTCGCCTTGTCCGTGTCATTAAGGAAGATCCTCCGTTCGAGCTCGAGAGCCCGGCTCCAGTCCACCCGGTCGTTCGGGCACAAGGTCACGCTCGGGAAGGGCAGGCTGGAGATTCTATAATGCATCGACTCGATGTCGATCGATGTCGGCGCGGCCTAAACAAATTTATGCGGCGCGGTCACGCTGTCGATACTGTAAAGCCCGATAAGAGAGCCCATTGTATAGCCGCGATATCATCGACACTCAGTATCGCGGAACGCTGTTCGATATCGGAGATAATTACTAGCTCGAATCTTCATGAGAGATTATGTACAAAGCGAACCGATCACCTGATGCGGCCACGGAATACAAAAAGAGCATAAACAGCAAGACTTAAAGGGATGTCAGACATGGCTTTATCGGCAATATATTTGATCCTTTCCTGCGAACTTTACGACGTATTACTTGTACAGAATGTTTTTACGCAAGGAAAGTACGTGCGAAAAACATTGTTCATTGTAACGTAAACTTTACTCGTACGACGAAAATGATAAAAAATTTTGAAATTTACATCTCGAGCTGTCAGTTAGCGTAAATGTTTGCCTGACACAAAACTTTCGTAGCTCGTATACAATTTTCCATTAGTACAGTTTCATTCCCTAGACATAGTGACATCGGACATTTCCAGTCAGATGTACCACGCCGAAATATCCGTGCATCATAACAGTTGATTATTCGAGAATTCGGCTGTTGCTCGAATAATGAACAGTTATGACGTACGAATATTTTATATATGTGATGCCAGCCTGACCGAAATTTTCAAATGTCACTATCCTAGGGAATAAGATTGTATTAATAAAAAAACTGTGTATTGTAATGAACGCGTGTGTTTGCCCTGCTCAGGAAAATCTCAAAGAAGATTGCTATATCTTTGCAGTTGAATTTACAATTGAGCTTCAAAATATACGAAAAGTTTGCAGAAAGATTTCTATGTATCTGTGCGGGGTTATATTTTCCATTAAATATGGTGGAAAACAAAGCTGTACGCAATTATACAGGCTATCTGACGTTAACATATAATCTCTTGCGTGTACGTAGATAAAATGTACTAAACAAAACATTTCTCTACCATTTTGCGAACCATACTAAATTTTTAATTATTAATTAAATAAGACTGTTGAATGGTCGTGCGTGATACGCGTTCCCCGCTCTTCACTCCTACACGGAAAAAAGAGATGTGATGCACTTAACAAAAAATATTTAGTTGTAAGCAAATAGCTGCATCATTCTACATGTCTTTGTATGATAGTTATGTGTATGGTTGATTTGACTTACTTACTTTGGTGTGTCCACTACATCAATGAAGTTGCGCGTGATCTGGTTGTGGCAACCAGAAATTAGTGAGGGGATCATTTTGCATAGATAAGCTAAATATTGATATAGTTGCATTAATCAATGTTATATTGCAAAGCAGACAGTTAGAAAACAAAAGCAATTCACTATGCGCACAGCTAGAGATGTATACATGTGAAAACTGGTTCTGAGTGTATAAATATACATTTGTAGTTGTCGCGTAATGAGCCGCGTTTGTATTAACCATGTATTATCACTGTTGCAACATAAGTAACTCAGCCATTGCTCTTTGGTTACAGCAACCACATAAATAGTTGTTCCGTATTTTACTATTGAATCTGGTTGGCACAACCAGATTTCTGTATGGATCAACCATATTGTTTTTTCCGTGTAGCTTATTGCCGCTCGACGTTAAACGTTCGAGTATACACTGAGAGAAAAATATAGTTGCTTTCGGCGTCAACTATACTCCTTTGTGATTTTAACCATAAAAATAGTTTGGAAAACTATTGTTTTAGTAAGTGTTATTAGAAAGATGGTTCTTTTAATTACTTTTCTGGTTAAGATCACAAAAATGTATAGTTGACGCCAAAAGCAACTATATTTTTCTCTCAATGTAGTAACATTGCGTTAAGCGAGTGTCGAATGTTGAGCGTCGAATGGCGATAGACCAGAGGGATGTGGCGCGCTGATTAGCGCTGTCCAGGTCTCTTTAGTATTCTACGCACACACTGAGAGAAAAATATAGTTGCGTCTACTTTTTTGTGATTTTAACCAGAAAAATAATTAGAAGAACCATCTTTCTAATAACACTTACTAAAACAATGGTTTTCCTAACTATTTTTATGGTTAAAATCACAAAAGAATATAGTTGACGCCGAAAGCGACTATATTTTTCTCTCAGTGCAGTATCACACGATCATTCACTAATCTTCTTTAATTACAAATCTCACGTGGTTGTTTGCAAAATGATAGAGGAGTTTTTTGTTCAGTTTAATTTAATCTGCATGTAAACGAGAGTATTATAGGTTATTATCAAACATCTTGTATAAAATCTATATGTAAAAGGTATACGAAGTGTGATTGTGTTAGTGCTTGACTGACACGATGTTACGACAATCAGTTCTACGTTATTAATATTTTTCGGGCTCGTTACTCATATTTTGACATAAAACAGTAACCCTTAAACAGTAAGAAAATTGATCAATCACAATTGATTATTGTGTGATTGATCAATTTGCTTACTATCTACTGTTTTGTGTGATTCTGGCTTTGTTTCACTATTATTACCTGGAATCGGGACGCCAACGTGTATATGACATTACTGGCGACGATAGAGGACGCGGCGAACATGAGGAGCCACAGCAGTCGCTCGACGGCATGCAAATCGGGGTTGACGACGTATCGCAGAGCGTGGAAGGTCGTTTGCGTGCAATAGTAGTTCAACGCGTGCATGATCCTTCTGCACTGCTTGCTCAGGCTGTGTTTCTTGTGCGGCTTGACTCGCACGGCCGCTCTCTCTGCGACTTTCTTTAACTCCTCCAAATGCGGTTTCATATTTAAAAAGACAGCTCGGGGAACGCGAAGAGACTAGAGATTTCCATGCGACCTCCGAAGATCAAATCGAAATTAAAAGATCCTCGACAGGTCAAGATTGACTCCGGCTGCGCGGAGCCTCGCGTCCGGGATAAATAAATCAGCAAATCAAGAGGGGAGAGGCACTCCTAAAACAAGACAATCCCCTCGCTCACCCTCCTACCGCCGCCACACAGCTGAGTCCCGAACACTTAACACCGACAGGATGAACACATCCTTATGGTCCGACCCCTCGTGGTCGAAAGCGTACTGAAGCATCCCTCTCGAAAGCGTCCTTGCGACTAAGGACGGAAGAAGGTCGAGCACGCCTTACCCCATCTCTTCCTTCTCCAACTTTTTACCACCATTGGCGGATCTGTGTAAATAAAATCCAATCAATTACAGGTGAGATAGGGGAAATGCGAAGGTGGAAGGGACGGCGAAAAGGGTCGGACGGGCGGAGAGGCGCACATGTTTGAACGCGCGCCCCGATGTGATCAGGATAATTCGGTTAGCGTGATTGTTGCGCAAACAGCGTCGACACGAGCGGAGAGGGATGCCACCACCCCTTCCTCCTCTGCCATTCCGGCTTCAATGTCCGCGAATAATGAAGAAGCCCCCGGGGATCACGCCGGTTTTGATTGCATCCCCCGGTATAATGCGGACAAGAGAAATCAGAACTCAGCGATTCGTTTGGCGCAACGTCACGCCGCCGAAAGCCATCGACGTTTCGACCGTTCGGTCTCGATCTCTCGAGTTCGACGAAATTTCGGTTAATTAGAGGCGCAATATTCATTCGGTCGGCGTGCGCGCATCGGTTTTCGTGTGACTGTTTCAATACCAGCGAAATGAGTTTTCTTTGGGAAACGAATGGCTGGCTTATCGAGAGAGAGAGAGAGAGAGAGAGAGAG